CGGCGGCCGCCATTGCCCCCGCGCCTCTGCGCATGCGCGGGGGGGTGGTACACTGCGCATGCGACAGCGGGTTCACTGCGCATGTGGCGGCAGGGACACTGCGCATGGGCAGCATCCGGTACACTGCACATGGCGGCGAGCACACTGCGCATGCGAAAGCGAGGCCACGTGGCGCTGAGGGTGCTCGGGGCTTGCTGCGGTGCTGCAGGGAGAAGCAGTGGGCGTGGTCACAGTGGGCGTGGTCAGGGGAAAGAGGCGTGGTCAGATAGTCGGACCCTACTTATGGGGCGGGGACCTACGCTTAGGGGAAGGGTTCGTCACATGTGGGCCAGGATGTCCAGTTATGGGGCAGGGACCCACATTTGTGGGGCAGGATGTTCACTTATGGGGCAGGGACCCACATTTATGGGGCAGGAGTCCCTGCTTATGGGGCAGGATATCCGCTTATGGGGCGGGGACCCACACTTATGGGGCTTCAGTTTTAGGAAGAAGCTCCACACTCCTCAGTCTGTTCAGGGCACTCAGCAGGCGGTCACAGCTCTGTTGACACTGGCCTTGTGTGAAAGGATCATTTTATTCTGGGCTACAAACTTTTTAGAAGGGGGACAGTCTGCTCTGTCTGGGTTTAAAAAATTCCTAGAAGAAAAAGCTCTGACAAATTGCTGCAAATTTCCCCTGGCCTTGCAGAATTCCAGCTTCTTTGCAGGTGTTGGTCCCATAGATCTGCTCCTCCTGTTATCTACCCTTCAGCTGTTTGCTCCCTGCCCTCAGCAATCACACCTGAGGAGCGGCAGTAGCTGGGTGCTGATGCCAAAGGGAAGTTTTCCACTGGAAAAAAACTTCTGTTCCTATTTCTTCATCGGGGTGAAGCGTGTACCAAAGCCTGGGCTGTGCTGCAGCCTGAGCATGGGAACACAGCAAACAGAAATGTTTCTCTTCTGTGGGAAAACTAGCAAGGCCCATGAAGTAAAAAGACAAAGCCTTTTAATTACTGCATTTAATAATTATCTTTATTTGTATATCACAGGCCTGTTGCACTCAAAGCTTAGGATTGGATTTGAGTCCAACACCAAGGTTTGTTCCAGATGGAGAACACGGCTACCATCACAAAAGCACACAAAGAAACACACCGTTTCCATGCAGCACAACTGTCAAGATCCAGCCTAATGTAATTTTTCACAGACTTTAAGGCCCAAAATGCTTGGGATTCCTGCACTGGCACAGCCATTAGCGTTCGGGAGTGCTAAAAGAAACAAGAAAATGAAGATATTATCAGTGGCAAGATCCCTGTATCCAGCGAGGAAAAAAAAGTCTGTTAAACACACAAATTTCCAATCCCCAATTACGGTCCTGTTGGAGGCTCCTGCAGGTCTCAGGGGATGCTGTGTACGACTTTTATGGTGTAACTCGAAGGAAGGAAGTGTCTGTGTAGCTTTAAATCCCCTCTGTGCTCCTCCTGTCCATACCCAGCACACAGCAGGGAGCGTGCTGGCACCAGTAGATACCTTGTGGGACCATTGATTCATTAGCTGGGTACTGCTGTTGCACAGCGGCTGCTCTGACACCAGCAAGCTGGGTTGGAATTTCTCTTATCCTTGATCCTGGCTTTAAACCTGGTCTTGAAGGCCACCAAGCTGGGTTATGTTCGTTTTAGCCTTAATCCCAGGCAAACCCCCTGGGAACAGCTGTTCCCGACACTGAGATGCCCAACAATGCAAAGCAGCGCTTTGCCGGATTTTCCAAAGCATCCCAGAGCCTCAGCCTCTCAATCCTGCTGGGTAGTTTCCTCCTCTCTCAAACAGGGAAAGATGCTCCTGCCTCAAAGGTACCCCATGGACTCAGGTTTAAAGGACAGAAAGGTGCTTACGCACTGCACCAGAAGCACAACTTTCTGATTCTGTAACTTACGGTCGGTCTTTTCAAGCTGGTAGAGAGGCAGACCTTTGCAGAGCTGTTGGATGGGTCTGCCGTAGCGAAACCAGTCTTTGATATCTCCAAACCAAGAATGGCCAGGTTGAAACTGGACCCACACGCTGTTTGGAGAGTACACTGTCCTCAGAGTCTGAAAGGAAACCATCAGACATCATCAGCAACACAGCTTTGGGTTCATGCTACTAGGACACCCTTGGAGAAAATCCCAAAATCTAAGATCAGTTTCCTTTGCCTCACACAAAGCACTAGCTAAAGAAGTTACAAGCTTTTAAAGAAAAATAATTTTCAATCTATTCAGAAACGAAGTTCACCAGATACTAATTCTGTCAACACAGCAAAATTGAGCTGTACTGCTATCACAATAAGTTATGGTAATTAGCAGTAAGTTTTGCTTTAAATGTGCGACTGTTAGGCTGTCATACATCAGGCCAGAACTGCCGTTCATTCTCGCAATGCTCCCAGTCACGCCTTCATGAAACCTTTGCCTGAATATGAAAGTCAAAGTCTGGTCAAAGCAAATCGATTTCTAAATTCTGTTCTGCAAACAAAATTATTTCAAGTTATGTCAAGCTCAAAATATCAGCATGACAATGAAAAAAAAAAAAAAAAGAGAAGCCTGGCTGAACTCATATTGCGGTCACCTCAAAACCGTCAAATTACACTGCTTCCGAGGACATGGGATCCTGCAGTTCTAGGCACAGTGACAATCCACTACAAAACCACAGGGGGGCCGTGATTGCTTATTATTTTAAAAGAATGTTCTATATGATATTCCCTTGCAGTTCTGTGCTGTCAGACCTGCCTCGTCGCTGCTAATGCAAAGACGTTCCTAAGAGCAGCTGTTCCTTACGGCAGAGCGGAGGGCTCCCATCACACCGCCCGACTCTGACACCGCAGCCTTCCCCGTACACAGCACAGGTTTCGCTACACAGTCACCTGTCTCTCAAAAGCCAGGCGTCCAATTTCCCGCAGCTCTGGGATGTATTCCTTATTTATTTTCAGGATAAAGCAGGCATTTCGTGAAAGTAACCTTGTTGCAATATACCCCTGTGATTAAAAAAAAAAAAAAAAAGTAGTGAATTTAATTATCACTACCACTAATATGAGTTGATTCTCCCTCCTCATTAGCACAGTCTTGAAGAAAAGCAGAGTGGCTGCACATGAGGTTGATGACATTCTTTTCACTTTCATAAACTGCCACCACAGGTTTTATTACAAGTCTTTTAAACTGCACCATCATCATCTGGGTGAAACAAAGAGATGGCCCAAGAGGAGGAAAGGTGGTGGCAGTCTTCAAAAAATAGTGTTTCGGGACAATTTATGGTGAGAATACACTAAAATAATTTCTGAGTTTAAAAACTTCTTCAGAGATTAAGTCTACACAGATTCCTAGATTTACTTACACGCGAGTAGTCAAAAATAGTATCAGAGGAGAGCAAGCCAGCACGGACATGGACATCAACAAGGTGGTCGCCATTGTCGATAGTCACAGTTCCAGTGACATAGTCATTGCCAGGTTCTTGCAGGACAAAGGTCTTTTGTTTAGAAAAAACAAAACAAAATAAAGTCATTGTTCATCATCTGGTTTGCACCAATATAAACAAATGCTTTCTCTCAAACAAACAAGCCCGATTGCTTTATGTAAATACTAAATCCCTTAACAACCCTCTAGCAGCCTCAGGAGGCCTTTGAGTTGGAGATTAATTAAGCAAGAGTGACCCAGGGTGAGAAAGGAGGGGAGAAGCACTCATCGATGGCCAGAGAAAAAACAACAGAGTGCATCCCAGTCCTCATGTGTGGCAGCAGGGCCTTGCAGGAGACCGCAACAGTCTCCAAATTTTAGCTTGAGCCAAGGGGACCTCTGCCCCCCCAATTTCTTGTTACTCTGCACCTGTACAGAACTGCCTCTTTGGCTTCGATGATTGTCACCTTCAGCAAATGCTGTTTTTCTTTATGCTTGGCAATAAGCATCTTGTTAGTTTCTTCTGTGCTTTTCTTCCTATTATATTTGCCCCCTGCCTGGGAATCTAATGCATTTTCAATGAGTACCTGCGCTAGAAGGCTTCTCAGTCTACTTACTTCCAGTGCCGAAGTCTGTGTCCAAAAGCCTCCCAGCAAAACAAGAACTGCAGCCTGTAAAAGGAATAAACATCCTCACTCAGCAGAAACACCAGGCAGTGATGTAACAAAACCAAAACAGTTCATGAACTGAGGGGAGCAGCTGTAGCATCAGTTTGAAAAATCACCCACTTAACACACGTATTAGCTGAAAACAAGTACAACTCTTCACTGTAAAATTCTTGCTGTTAGGCTCTTCTGCCTGTAACTGAAAAAGCAGAATGATAACCTAACCAGTACATTTTTTTGTATTTTCCAAAAGTCACATCCCTGATACCATGTTACTTCTTGATTTGTCTCTACAACTCTAATTATTAAATCTAAATCCCCCTTCCGAGTTGTAACCAAGTTCTGCACTCTTTGCTGAAATGATGCTTCCACTGGCTCCAAGGGGATCACTGCACACCCAAGAAATGCAGTTTACCCACTGAACAACCCCAAGAAACAACACATAGATCATGTTAGTCCCCATACTGTACTGACTTGCGCATCTTCTTCTCTATCCTTTTGTTTTTAAAATAAGGAATTTTTTATATTATAGGTTCAATAAAAATTTATATACTCACGAATCTGTTCATTCTTCTTTCAGATAAGAACAAGAGGCTGCAGAAAGTAAGAATGCAAGAAAACCCCCGACACCTTCAACTTTTATATCTTGCTGAGGGTGTGGGAAACACTTGACAGAACTTTTCTTCGTGACCTGAACAAGTACATATCTACACGCCACAGTAAGCCTCATATCTGAATTTTGGGTTGGAACAGATAACCTGACCCTGATACGTTTAAAGCGCTCAATAAGTCAGCTTTCGTAAAATGAATCACTCTACAAATGGCTGTGATTTACTGGTTTAAACTTTAGAGAAGCTCCCCCTCTTGCTGGTTCCATTTTTTTTAAATATTTAAGAGAATGTTGTCCAGAATTCAATGGCATCAGGAATAACTCTGCCATTCATGAAAATAAATTTTATTTTGTCTTCCAAAAGATAGTCTGCAGACAAATCCCAAAAAGAAACACCTACGTCATGCTGGCCTACGCACCAGCCACCAAACAGACCGTACCTTCTAATACATGTCAACAAGAAGTGCTGTTAATTTTTGATCGGTTACCATGATATATAAATATATATATATATATAACACGTGTTGAAATTAGTCACATCATTAGGAATGACAACTGTGCTTTGCAAGACACCCTGGGTAACTGCTGGCGTCCGCAGCACACCGAGGAGTGACACACGACTTCAGAGGGTGTGTGGTTCACACATGGTCACAAAAACAAAAGCCTCAGGATGGGGATTCCTTCTTTAAAGCTACCACTGTTTTCTGGATTTTATGAAAATGGCAATGGCCACATGATATTCACGGTATTATCCTGTGACTGTGACCTTGCCTGGACTCCTCATCTGCAATTCCAGGCCAGGCAGTGCTGGGACCTTGCAAGTGACGCTACTTCCTACTAGAACGTCACACAAGAACTCAACCTAATAGTTAACGCTTTTCTGTAATCTCAGCCATCAGAAAAGAGGTGAAAGAGACCCTGTATGCAAATCTCTCTCAGCAAACAGGCCTTAACAAAAAAGAAAAAGAAAAAAAAAAAGGAAATTGCACGCATTTGCTTTACTCCACCTAACTCCACACAGAAAATGTTATTATCTCAAGAGTAACAAAGCCGTGCTGCTAAGCAATGTATCAGAATAGGTACAAACAGCCACCGAACTGTGACAAGCACGGTTAGATTACACTGATTACATTAGATTGAAGGTACCGTCCTCTTCAAAGTTCGCTCTGCCCCTTCTCAAAAGATTCTTTGTTTTTAAAGGTATGTCAGGAATACTCAGAGTAGATCTGGGCACCTGAATAAGCCTTTCAGAGGAGGGATCTAATGGGTTCAGGCCCAACAAGCTATACCAGAAAGTTTTAGTAAGTTCTAAATGCTTTTAAACTAAAGCTTCAATGAACTTTCCACTAGTCGTTATGTCTTCATATACTCCTCTTTTGAAAACACCCAAGAAGCATGAGCTTCTGCTTTCTTAAACATCGATATGCTTAGGCACAGGTAAGAGCAGAGGAAGATGCGAAAACGACAGTTATTTAGTGAAGGAGAATTACAACCACAGCCACAGTCTCCTGTGTTTCCCCTTACATTGGACTGACTGAATTTTGCTGATCCGATCAGACAAGGCCAAAAAGTAAAGATTCATCTCTAAAAAGCATTTGACTAATGAACATTATCGCAAGAGAGAACATACTCCCAGTTCTCTCAAGCACAGCCTAGCTCTATTTCCAACAGGAAAGCCCTGCTTTTTGGAGACATTTTCCCTGCACAGCTCATCACACGTCTCCCAGACATACACCTGGAATCAGCACACGTGCACTCGGAGGCAAGTCTGCCCACGACCGCGACAGAGTCCTCTGAGCACCCTGCTACATGAAGGAACTGAAGCAAAGAGCTGCATAAGAAGGGCTGGAACCTGCTCTCATTTTACTTTTGCCCGTCCTCAGGCACAGCGAGGTTTAGCTGAGGAAGCCGTGACTCAGAACTCCTTGGTGAACGGGAAATTTCCCAACGATGCCCGCATTCTCAAAGCACTCTTCTTGCTTTGGATACTTTTGATCGAAGTGAAGAACCTCAAACTTTTTCCTAAACAAAATCACTTTTTCCTCAACTGTTACACCTGCAGTCAGGTTGGTCATATCGGTGAAGGCAGCAGAAAATGGAATTTGAGGAATGTTCAGCACAAGTAACAGGCTGTTACAACATGGCAACATTTATTGTCGAAGGAAACTTAATTTCTGTTATTTGTATAAGGCCAAATGTTTTCAAATACATTAAAATTTACCCTGATGAAACACAATTAAGCTAGAGAATTACTCTTAATCTATCTAAGTGAAATTGCCAGAAAAATTTGACCCATTATTTGGCACTGTCATCCACTAAAAATCATTTAAACAAAAGAACCTTGAACATCAAACGTAAATAATAACTGTGCAGTTTCAGTTCAAGTCTGATTACCATTAACACATAAGGGAGATGGATTCAATCAAGTTCAGGTGAGATTATGCTATCATAATAAACACTCCTGGTGACTCATAGGGGTTTTTTCAGGTACTTTTCATAAATATTTGCTTTATCAGGGAGTGAGCAGGTAGTGGGAGAAAAGTAAAGAATAAAGCAACACCTCAAAAAATCAACAAAATTCTCTTATGCTTTCCTTTGCATTCAGCTGGGCGTGCCACACACTAGATAAAGATTGGGTATCGCAGCCCAGAAAAATCTCTGTGGCACAAGGACAGGTCAAGCAGGATTAATCACACTCTACAGGTAAAAAAATCAAGCTTCAAGGATGAATTAAGAAATACTTTCAGCAGTTTTATTCTTGCTAGACAGTGAGACAGAAAAACATATTAAAATGTAAGTGCGTGCACAAAACAAAACACTAATTTGAGAACAGGGTTAAAAGCGGAACAGCTTGCGGCCTGGGGAGTTTGCTGCACAGTGGTACAAGAATTTAGTACAGAAACAGAAAGCTTTGAGACAGAGACAAGCTCATACTGGAAAAAGATCAGGGTCTTGTACAGTAAAAGCACCCCTCCCTGCCTTTTTTCCTGGCATCTACTGTTGTAATTAGTTCTGTCAGCTATTCTTAATGTCAAACACTCGAGCTGTGTGTTTGCCGTGCAAACCACTCAAGTACTCAGAAGTTGATGGAAGATTTGGAGATGCAGGTTTCCAAGTGTGACGCATTACTGTAATGGCCAAATTGGCGACGGTTGTTGGAAGAAACGGACAAAACTGCTTTCCAACTCATTGCTAACGACACCGCAGGGATTAGCATTATGCAGTTCAGTTTTTCAATGCCTTTCTTGAGAACTAGTCAATTAATTTAATTTCCAGAGACTATGAGAGGATTTTGTGACACACAAAATTAGACTTTTATGTGTATTTTGGATCTTGGAGGCTAAGGACATATCTGTCTCCATTTGACATCCACAAATCAGTCCCATTAGAAGAACTGTACATCTTTTCCCTCGGTAATTTATTACTTTCATTTACCATATTTTACACGTCGTGAAAATTGCAAAGTGGGTGCAGAATAGATGAAAACCAGAGCTCTCTGCTGACACTGGGGAGTGCTGCTCCTCCCTCTGCACTCTGCCATCACACAGCCCGAGCAATGCCTCGGTCGGCAGGATGATCGAGTGTGGCCCTGACCGGTGTATGTGAGAACCAGGCCTCACCTTCTCAACTCCAGTAAGATTCCCTGGGCAAAGAAACTCAGACATTTGTACTAGTCAATTAAAAAAAATAAACATTTTGCAAAGTTTCTGTAACAAACAAGGTAAATAAGTCTTATGCTGTGGCTCTGTATATTATTATATAAATTCAGAGAAATATTAAAACCTATTTTCTAAATAATTTTTGACATAAAATGCCTGCTGTTACTGCTCCTCCTTTACTCTTTTTTTGCTATCTCCAGTTTATGCTCCCTTTCTAGAATTAGCCCTTAGTCCATGAGTAGTCCATCCACTTCCATGAAGAGGCTCTGAAGATGCAGAGGCCATGCCTGAAGACTGGAAAGCAGGTCCTCACTGAACAAGCTCAGAAAGGAAGGGTAACAAAAGAACTCAGTAATTTCTGTGATTTAGAACCAACGTCATGATTTTCAGGGACTGACTTAACATTTTTAACATAGCAAGATTACTGCCTCCGTTGATTTAAAAGCTATGGATAAAGCATCAGGTTGGGTCCTTTGCCACATAGGCACAAAGCATCGCTACAAATTCCATTAGGCATCTATTCTCTCATTCTGATTTTTTTTTTTTTCCATTTAAAAGTTACATTGAATTTGCCACAACAAGTTTTCTTTCATCTTCCCGTGTAAAATGAATTCAATCAGGCTGGTATCAAAGCCTCTTCTTATCAGACCACTTCCTCAGGAAATCCGTCACGATTCTGGGAATGCAGGGCACGTGCCAATAAGGTAAACCCATTTTAAGATTTAACTTCGGGATATTACTGTACAAAAAGTAAGAGTACACATCAATTACCAGCAGATCTTGCCTCGCCTGCCATCAAAATGAAGTGCACTGTAAGTATATGTATCACTTTCTCATAAAACTTAATGCTAGACAGTTTTTAAATTATTTTGAGTCTTTCTTGGCGCCTAGCGAACTATTACTGATTTATGTAGGGATTGCAGAGTAAAAATGCCAAACGGGTTGGAACTGCATGGGTGAAGTTTGACTTTTGTCAGCGACTTCACTCTATATGCCTTTTCAAACATGAAAGAGAAGTGCTTTGTTATAACAGAAAGACACATGTAAAATGTTGAAAGGGCAATATTCTCTCATTCACAACTGGGATGCAAGTCAGTCTCAGCAAGTTATAGAAAGTTATGGCTCAGCTGTCTGATGACACCATAGGAGAAGTACCATGAGACTTGAAAGACTTCAAAAGTGCATGACTGAAGTAGGGAGATTTACAGCAGCCTGAAATTGTTGCAGAATAAATTCCAAAATGTTAGTGCTAAATACTCTGAGTCACACTTGGATCTGTGTCATAAAAATCCTCCTTTGAAATAGATGAAATGTGGGACTGATTCAGTGTTAGAGGGATTATCTCCAAGAGAATAATCATGTACAGTAATTATCACAAAAGAATTTAACATCGTAACAATATTAAATCTCTCAAAAATATATCAGTAGTAGTTTTGACCAATCTGAGCAACAAGTATGTAACTCACAAACTATATTATTTTATAAAGGGGTAACAAAGTGTTTAACCTTACATCTTTCTGAACAAAAATGATTGTACTATTCGTCCTGTATTCAGAGGCATGAGATCCACTATGAGGATGCTCAAGTCCCATTTCAGTTGTGTTCCAAGCGCAGAGCTGTACCGTGCACCCATATTCCAGCTTTTCGCAATAGGTGCACGCGCACACAGATATTTAATGGACCTGTTCCATGTCCGAAACCAAAAGCTCAGGGTGAAATCTCACTCTTTCAAACAAAATATTTCAGACCGCCTTTTCCCAAGGAGTTTACTGAACTGGAGCCGAACATACTTTAAAACCCTCTGCGTTTAAATGATCTTCTCACTTGTGAAAAGTATACTGCTCAGGTTAAGAGTACTTTATATGAATTGATGATCTGATGTAAGCTCATTAACAAAGACTTCTGCGTATTTAAATACTCTTCGGCTAGACCCCACTTCAGAAAAGTGCTGAGCATCTACACAAAGTTAAACAGGAAGTCAAAACTATTTTAAGACAGCAAAGAACTGTGACTGCTTATCTTGCATCCAATGTTAAAGTGTTGTGAATTTCAAATGTTCATTCCAGATTGTGATTGTTTCTCTTCTTGGAGTTTTCCTGGTTTCAGCTCTTGCTAACAGGGTAAGTATAGAGCTCCATGCTGTTATACACCGCTGCCATAAAAACCAGTGGCCTTTGGCTATGGCCTCTGAAAAATGTCTCTGAAAGTGAAGCTGTATCTTAAAGTCTGATACTTTGCAGGAAACAGCATTCTTTTTATACCAAATAAAATATTTTAGTGCTTGATATACCAAGGGGAAAAAGACAGCTGCTAGATATGAAATCACCAAAGTCTGTCTTGAGATTAGCATAAACACTATGAAAATAACTGGAGAGAAACAAATATTAGCATGAAGGATCTGACCACAAAATACAGCAAAATACTGTAAATAACCCTCTGCCTGCAAGTTCCTGCTGGGCAAAAAACAATAAGGAATTTCTTTACTTTTCTTTGAATTTTTTCTTGCAAGCTTGACTCTGAACATCCAGCTTAGTGTTTAACGCTAAAGGAAATTCTCCAGCGTTCAAATGGAACAATTTTCCACCTGCTCTAACAGCTATTCTGTATGGGGGGACAGGAAGTGAAATAGAGCCGAAATGTTAAAGCTTGGTGGATGCATCAGACATGTGAAAACCAGGGCTAGATACAGCCTGAACGCAAGGTTTGAGTCAACAGTACTAATGGCTTCCCAGCCTCCCCTCTAAGGCCAGAAATTAGCTCCCCTTCAATCTCATCTCTAACAGTAATAATCTCCCAAAACATGGTTACTGGAGCTATTACTTTATCGATTGAAAGGCTACTGGGAATCCACAAACCTAAATCTTTACCTCCTTTCATCTTTTTCAAAAATCAGAATGGCAAAAAAAACTTTAAGGGGCACCACAATGAAAACTCCAACCACTCTCTCGCCGACAGTGGGGTCAGCACCGGCTCAAAGGAGTACTCTGAGGACTGGAAAACTGTCTGGGACAGAAAGACGGTAAGTGGCTGCCACCACGGCTTAAAACAAAGAAAAACCACCAAAAGGTTTTGGTAAAACACATAAGCTTCTACAAAACTCAACAAGATTTTAGAGGAGATGCTTAAAAATGTTCCCGTTTAACAATTTTATTGTTTCTGCTGTGCTGTATGCTGCGCTGGTATTTTCAGCAGTGAATTTCTTCACCTGACTTAAGCAGCATTATGTATCTTACACGTGGCATTACTGGAGAAGGCAATTTACCTTTTACCAAGTCCGTTGTCAGCCTCCATCACACGCTTACCTGGATAACATAATTGAAAACCCAATATTTTCCTTCCCTATTTGTGCTGTGTAAAACCTTTCTTTAAGCAGTGCTTCTCTCTGGCAATCTGCTTATCTTCCACTGCATGTTGTTTGCAACAAAAAGCTTTTTTTTTTTTTTTTCATTTTAACAGGGCTACATTGCAACCAAGGTATTTTCAAATAACACCTGCATCATTGCTAAAATGGACAGGAGGTTTTTGCTTGGACCATCTCAAGGACACAAGGTAGGATGATGAATGAAAGTGGTGAGAAAGCTAATTAATTGCCTGTGAAAAGTACTCATTCCCTAGACACACAGAGGAGAAAACGCTGCAGAACTAAAGAGGAGTTTCTCAGCAGGGCTGAGCCACTGAAAAAGTTCAGACTTTCAGAAGCCAAACAACCCCTTCTCCATTATCAAGGATGTCTGCACAGATTCACAACTCCATTTTCTGTTTTTCTAAATGCTGTTCTCTGGGTTTGCTTCTTTGATGCTTAGGGACCTAGCGATCGCCAACTTCCACCCAGAGAGAGTCGCTTTGTTATCTCAAAAGACAGACTCCAAAGCTTGCGCCGATACGGAAGACGCATCCAAGCTCTGTGCAGAGGAATTCCCTCTTACCTTGCTTTCCCCGCCACTGGTGAGTACACCCGTAACCGTGGTTTGTATACCAACGTAAAAATTAACAAGATCACAAATAAGCATGAAAAAGATTGAAGGTGACCAAGTTAATTATTGAAATCCAACGCTTTTCTATGACTTTTTATAAATCAGTGAATGCATACATAAGGAAAATAGCAGGTCTGCCACTCTTCCACACAGAACTCGGAGACCAGCCTTTTTCAGGAAGGTTTGGGGCTCTAGCGGTTGACACAAGTGTGAATTTTTTAGGCAATTTCATCCATGTACAATACCACAGGTCCTGCCACATCATGATTTTGAGATTCCAAATCCACTTTGCAGCTTCGATTGGTCTAGAAAGATTGCACTAGCAGTTGCTTGTAGTATAAGTTAAAAATTGAACTACATGTTTTAAAAATGACATTTCCTGGTGCATTTCCAACATTATGTTGGAAGAATTTCCGCTACATTGTTCTCTTATTTTCTCAGTCCAAATCTAATCAGTTTTTCCTTTTCTTTCAGGATCAAACTTCTCAAAGCAAAATGATTCATGTTGGAGCATTAAGACTAATGAACAGCTCTTCCATTACTGTTATTAATTATTCCTGACGAAGTTTTGAGGAAGAAAATTCATAGAACTCCGTACCCATGAACAAGATTTGTCTCCTTGATAATCTTCTCTTGATCACATCTTCAATCATTTATCTGTCTCTTCTTCTGCTTTATGTGGAGGCTATTGTGTCTCAGTAAAATTTATCAGCAAGCTACATTGGGTCGTACTGTGTTTTTACTAATCCTTTAAAAACCATAAGCAATTCCAAAGACAAATTGCTAAACTGGTGTTCTTGCAAAATCCCAATTTTGGCATTTAAACACCATCCTGTACAATCACCCAGTGAGACTTCATGTGCTGCCTTAAGCAGTTATTCATCACTACCGAAAGCAAATGGTGCTATACCCACTGCATAACTGTATTTAAGAGAATATCGTCTCAAGTCCAGATTTCTAGAAATAAACTTATCCGAATTATTTTTACTTTAACTTAATGTTAACATACTAAGTATTACAATGTTTTCTTTAAAAAAATAAGGATTGAAATGCAATATGGCTAATTACAAACCGACAGATGCACTATTGCTCTCCTCAACCCAGAAATCAAGCTGTAACTATCAGAATTAATAAGTATTAAATGCAGTTTGGGGTTGAATACAGATGTTACAAACAACATTTGACAAATGTTTGCTCAGGAAGCAAAAAAGCATACCGTAACCAATTAAAAGTGCAGTTTGAAATTTGAGAGTCAACTTATAATTAGGCCAAAACTAAGGCAAAATGGCTGGGACTAGCTTCTGCATCTAAAACAACCACTTAGGTAACCAAGTCTGTCTGGAAAATACCAGATCCTCACCTTCCCTCCTTGCTCCGAGGCCCTTTTACTGGAGTTTGAAAAGCATTCCTCTAAGAGAGACTTTACCCATTCCGGAGCAGCCGAGGGTTAAGGATGCAGCTGCCTGTTCTGTTCAGGAGAGTGTTTTGGGGGTCTTTAATAGTTAACTGACATTAAAACCAAAGCAAAACCGCATACAAAAATATTTTAGCACCTCCAAATAAAAGCAATCTCATGGTTGCAGCATTTAAACAAAGTTCCTGTCCCCCTTGCCTGGGGATTCCCGGCACACACAGAGGTCAGCAGCCTCGCTGTGATGGAGGGATACCAGGATACCATCTGCTGGGCTCAAACCAGGGACACCACAGTCCCCTTGGCAGGAACACCGGGGCGCAGATGCTTCCAGCAAGGGGACAACACCTGCTCCAACACCATCGCCTTTAAGGCCAAAATTTCAACCAGAGGGCACAAAACATTGGCAACAAGGTCCAGCTTCTCGCAACACTACTTCAACTTCATGCCCATAAAATCACATTTTTTACTATAATATTACACATTGTGATGCATAATAGATCTCCAAGCTTTTTTTTTATTCCATAAAGCACTTAAATTAACCACATGTCCCACAGTAACATTTAAAACTTCACATAAAACGCAGAACTACTGAAACAATGAGGCAAACTATTTTCTTTTTCCAGACCCTAGGAATTTTATGGCAGTGTTGTATTCTGGCAGGTTTCTTGATCTAATGGAGACATCATCATTGCAATTTAAACTGATTCAGCTTTAGACTGATCAGGAAGAGAACAAGACCCAAGTGGAGACACGACAGCAAAGCCTTCAGTGAACCAGAAGAGACATCAACACTGGGACTCTCAAAATGCCCAAGTACAGAGATATCTATATATTTTTATCAGTGCAGAAAATTGGAGTTGCTTACCTTACAAGAAAAGATCCTTCTCAGCAAGAACGAGGCCTGAGCTTTATCACTAAACACAATTTCCACGATCTGTAACGATCATTTCAGTAATTCGGGATAATACCAGAGCTTCACCTTCCCTAATTTAATTAAAACTCTAATCTAAATTGAGGGCAACCCCCCAGCATGCCACACCAGCATTACAAGGCGACAGGATTTTATCCTAAACCCTGTTCCTCTGGTTTTTCTCTTCCCCCGCTGCAGGCAGAAGATGAAGATTCAACTGCATTTACTTCTACAAAAACATCCCAAAAATGGTATTGACACAAAAAAGTTCAGAAGCGTGACTTAACTATCATTAAAAAGCCACAATATAATCTAATAAATATATCAGAATACCCTCATGTATTTTAAAACAAATTCAGGATGCTGAGAGAACCTGGTTTACGACAGAATTTTTTTTTTTTTTTAACACAAAAATAGACATTATCACTTGAAACACTGACAGCAGGTCTAAAACCAATCTCTTGGGGAAAAACAACACTTCAACAACTGTGAATGAATAAAGCCGGAATGTC